CTTCCTTCCTTCTGTCCATCCGTCTAATCCTTCCTTCCATCTAATCCTTCCCCTTCCTTCCTTCCTTCCTTCCTTCCTTCCGTCCGTCCGTCTAATCCTTCCTTCCATCTAATCCTTCCCCTTCCTTTCTTCCTTCCTTCCGTCCGTCCGTCTAATCCTTCCTTCCATCTAATCCTTCTCCTTCCTTCCTTCCTTCCTTCCTTCCTTCCTTCCTTCCTTCCTTCCTTCTCTTTCTTTCTTTCTTTCTTTCTTTCTTTCTTTCTTTCTTTCTTTCTTTCTTTCTTTCTTTCTTTCTTTCTTTTTCTTCCCCTCCCCTCCCCTCTTTTCTCTCTCTCCCCTTCCCCCTCTCTTTCCCTCTTTCTTAAGATTGACAAGTTTGGAGATTCCTGGCTGAGGACTTCTGGGGGTTGGAATTCCACAAGTCTTACGGTTGCCAGGTTTGGTGACCCCTGGTTTAGGAATAGAATAATGGGGTTGGGGGGGGAGCTTGGAGATCTTCTAACCCACCTCCCTGCTCAAGCAGGAAGCCTTATATATCATTCCAGACGTTGGGTTGGGTTGGGTTGGGTTGGCTACCAAGAATGGAAAACATCCTGAGCCAATTCGAAAGACCAGTGGTGATGGGGACGCCATGATTTTTGGCCCCTCCTGGTTGATGTTCTCAGGGTGGCCCCTCTTTTGTCTCACTCCTGGAGGGGGAAGAGGTGACCTCACAAGAGGCTGTGACAGCAGCTGTGAAGTAGCAGCTCACCAAATTTGATGGCCACCCCCCGGAGACCCACAAGAACATCCAGCTCCACCCTTAACAGCCGAAAGGAAGACCGACTGGCGGATTGTCTCTATGCCGCTACGAGAAGAGGGTTTAGGAAGGGAAGCCGGCGTCTGTGGTCCCGGTCAGAGGAGTCTCGTGGGTAGCCGGGCAGGGCCACGCTCTTGTCCCGCTCAGCCATGGCGCGTCCACTTAACATGGACACCCTTCAGCAGAACTTCTGGAAGGAAGAATACGAGAAGGAGATCGTGCTCCGTTTCGCCTGGCACCAGAAGTACGGCGCCCTGGTCAAAGCCAAGCAGGAGGGCTTACGGGAACGCCGCAAGAAAGCAGAGGACACCACCCTCCGCCTGCCCTCTGTCCGGCCCCCACCCCCAGTCAAACCCAGAACTCCCCCTCCGCCCCTCCCTCCTCCCCCGCCCAAGGCAGTCCAGCCGCTAGCTCGGCAACGGGACCTGACGGGGCTGGACAAGGCCCTCCTGGAGATGGAGATGAAGCCGGCTCCCCGCGAAGTGCGCAACCTTCTCTACCAGGGGATCTCCCACGAGGACGAGGGACGTTACCGCTACTTGAAGCTGCGCCTCCTCGTCCCGCCGGAGGAGAAATACACTTTCCCCATCACCACCAACTTCACTTACGGCTGGCAGATGGGTGAGCGGTTGGGCAGGAGGGGTACGGGGGTGCATCTTAAGTCAGGGGTGTCAAACTCAAGGCCCCGGGGGCCGGATCTAGCTCAACAGGGCCACCCTGGAAACAGTGAAGAGCTGGTCTGTGGTGCTTCTTGCCAGCCAAAATGGAGCTCGGGAGGGCCACTGGCGGCCTTCCCGAGCTCTGTTTTAGCTGGCGCAGAGGATTGCAGGAGGCCATCACAGCTGAAAACGGAGCTCTGGAGCCTCTTTTCACGGACAGAACTAGTGGTGGGATTCAAATTGTTTTACTACCGTGGCTTGGCTGTGCTTTGCCTAACACCGGTGCGCATCTTTCCCCACACCAGCTGAGAGGATAAAGGAGAAAAGCAGCTGGCTGGGCGCGTGGGAGGGCTGATCTGTGCTTTTCTTTTTCCTCTCAGCTGATTGTGAGAGGGTTTTTTTTTCCTCCTCAGCTGATCGTTGGAAGCTTTTTTTCCTCAGCTGATTGTGGGAGGCTTTTCCCCTCCTCTCAGCTGATTGTTGGAGGCTTTTTTCTTTCCCTCAGCTGATTGTGGGAGGCTTTTTCCCTCCTCTCAGCTGATCATTGGAGGCTTTTTCCCTCAGCTGATTGTGGGAGGCTTTTTCCCTCCTCTCAGCTGATCATTGGAGGCTTTTTCCCTCAGCTGATTGTGGGAAGCTTTTTCCCTCCTCTCAGCTGATCGTGGGAGGATTTTTCCCTCCTCAGCTGATCGTGGGAGGATTTTTCCCTCAGCTGATTGTGGGAGGATTTTCCCCTCTTCTCAGCTGATCATTGGAGGCTTTTGCCCTCCGCTCAGCTGATCATGGGAAGCTTTATTTTTACTACTGGTTCATCTGAACCAGTCTGACCCAGTAGCATACCACCACTGGATAGAAGGCCACCCCAGCGTGGCCCACTCTTCCCCCGCCCCCCAAGGTCAAACACAATCCCGATGCGGCCCACAATGAAATTGAATTTGCCATCCCTGATCAAAGTGGACAGACGGAGGATCCACCCGGAAGCCACACGATACAGGGTCCGGGGTGAGAAAAAAAAGCAAGATTCTGCATTTAGGCAGGAAGAAAAAAACCCCAAATGCACCGAGGTAGAATAGGTGGTAGGTGGCTCACCGCATGAAATTCGGCGGTGGAAAAAAGGAAGCACAACCAATTTAGGCCAGAAAAACCAAATGCACAGGTACAACCTAGGTGGTCCCTGGATCAGTAGTAGTAACGGAGAGAGGGATCTTGGAGTCCTAGTGGACAATTGCTTAAGTATGAGCCAGCCGCGTGCGGCGGCAGCCAAAAAAGGCCAACGCAATTCTAGGTTGCATTTACAGAGGGATGGAATTAAGGTCACGTGAAGTGTTAATACCGCTTTATAAGGCCTTGGTAAGGCCACGCTTGGGATATTGCATCCAGTTTTGGTCACCACGATTCACAAAAGATGTTGAGCCCGGGAAGAGTGCGGAGAAGAGCGACAACGAAGATCAAGGGGCTGGAGGCTAAAACGTGGAGAACGGTGGCAGGAATTGGGTTTGTTGCGATCAGGCAGCCGACACCAGCAAGTTCTAATAGGTTCAGCCCAGGAACTCTTCAAGTGTAGCAACTTTTTAAAGGCTTGTGGACTTCAACTCCCAGAATTCCCCAGCCAGCTGAAGTCCACAAATCTTAAAAGTTGTCAAGTTTGGAGATCCCTGGTTTAGCCCAACCAGAAGAAGGGTGAGGAGTGACTCGACAGCTGTCTTCCCATAATCAAGAGCTTGTCACGGGGAAGAAGGGGTTGTCCTTGAGGGCAGGACAAGAAGCAATGGGTGGACAGCTCATTCAAGAGAGAGCCAACCTCGAATTAAGGAATTTCCTAATTTCCAATTCATCGCTTGCCTCCTGGAGTTGTATTGTTCCGTCATTGGAGGTTTTCAAGAAAAAGACCATTTGTCTAGGAGGGTGTGAGGACTCCTGCCTCGAGCAGGGAGTTGGACTAGATGACCTTCAAGGTCCCTTCCAAGCCTACGATTCTATGAGCCACTCCTTGGTCTTCTCCTGGCCCTGCCTGTCTAGGGCCCGCTTAGGGGGAAGGACTTTCACCTCAAAGGGGCCACACAGCTCCCTTGTTAAGGTATTGAGATTTAAGAACGGACCAGAAAGCAGTAAATTAAATGTTAGGCTGATGCAATGAAGGTGAATTAGCATTGGTATTGCCCTTTTAAGACTAAGCCTTACCCCCTTTAAGCGGTGTTTATATAAAGCAGCCATTAGAGGGTATTTTCTCTCTCCTAGTGTCCGCAATCCATTGCAGAGTTGTCCATGTAGAGTTAAGAAGATTGACTGCTTGTCAGGTATTTGTATATTTCTGTATATGTCTTGTATATAAACCATGGTTAATTGTCAAAGTCTCTGTCTGCTGCGTTTTGCTCCTGGGTTGTCTCATAATAGTAGTCTTGCTGCAAATGCTCTGACATCCCTCCTCTTGTTTTTCTCTCCTCACCCCCAAATTTGTATCTTCCAGGGAAAATGGCCACCTCCCACGTGGCCCCCACCGCCAAGACCCGCACCGACAGCTTCTTCCGAAAGAACGGCGCCTTCTCTCTGCTGCATCCTCGGGATGTGGCCCTCTGAGTGCCAGTGCCACAAAAACCAAGACTATGAGATTACCTTGGTGCCCTGTCTCTTTCCTTGGCTGGTATCTCAGGTGGCTTCTCAGGATGATCTAGAGCAGGCAGGGGTGTCAAACTCAGCTTCATTGAGGACCGCATCCGGGTTGTGTTTGACCTCGGAGGGGGCTGGGGTGTGTGTCCAGGGGGCACGGGCAGTTTTATGTCACTCATCGAGGCTCCATTTTTGGCCACGACGGCCTCCTGCAGCCCTCTGCCGGCAAAAACGCTTCTGTCTCCCAGTTTCCGTTTTCACCGGCAAAAGGCTGCAGGAGGCCGTCACGGCAAAAAACGGAGCGCAGGAATCCCACGTGTGCGGTCCTCCTGAGCTCTCTGTTTGCTGGCAGCAGCACCATGGGCCTGTCCTTGGCTGTTTCCTGGGCGGGCCCACAGGCCAAATCCAGGTGGTAGGATTCTACTGATTCGGACCGGTTCTATAGAACCGGTTGTTACGATCCTGCACCGTTTGGAGAACTGGCAAACCCTGCTCCTGGCTGGCCCCGCCCTCTCCACCTGCCCTTCCCCTTCCTGCCCTCCCCCTTATCGCACATGCGTGACATCACTGACCGAGTTCTCCCCCACCCAGTCACTCCTTAAGGTATTTTTTTCCCCTCCCAACGATCAGCTGTTATCCCCTTCGCTGTCTTACTGCTTCGCCCAAAAACGGAACACAGGTTGTGTATGCGTGCTCCCCCTGCGCTCCGTTTTTTTTTTTTTTTACCCTTCCTTTCGGTTGTGAGGGTCACCCTCCTCTTAACAACCGCAATTGACTCCACAATTTCCTTTGTCGGTTTGGAGGGTTGTAAAGCAGCCCAGGAATTCTGGGAATTGAAGTTCACACATCTTAAAAGTTGCCCCAAGGTTGCAAAAAAACCAAACCACATGGATTTAATGGATTCCTGGTGAAGACCCTTTCTAACTCCATACATCATACAATGCCGTGAAATAAAACAGCAACACGCAGCAACAAGAACATACTGGAACTATTGCCTGGTACATGATGGATCAAATCATCTACAACCTCTTCAGAAGACCTCAGCTCTGAGGCCTTCTCAAGAGGTTGTAGATCAGAGGCCTCCAAACTTGGTCAGTTTAAAAGCTTGTGGACTTCAACTTCCAGAATCCTCCTCCACTCATGGTTAGCTCAGGAATTCTGGGTGTTGAAGTCCACAAGTCTTAAACTTGCCAAGTTTGGAGACCCTTGGTCTAAGGGATAGTGCTAAGTGGGAAGGAAGGAAGATGAAGGAAGGGAGGAAGGAAGGAAAAGAAGGAAAAAGAATAGCAGAATAGCGAGTTGGAAGGGACCTTGGACCATCCATCCATCCATCCATCCTATCATCTCTCTGTCTTATCTACCCTACCCTACCCTACCCTACCCTACCCTACCCTACCCTACCCTACCCTACTCTATCTATCTATCTATCTATCTATCTATCTCAGGTGTCTTCAAACTTGACAGCTTGAAGACTTGTTGACTTCAACTCCCAGAATCCTCTTCCACTTATGGTTAGCTCAGGAATTCTGGGAGTTGAAGTCCACAAGTCTTAAACTTGGCCAAGTTTGGAGACCCTTGATCTACAATCTCTTGAGGGGGCCCCTGCTGAAGTCTTCTCAAGAGGTTGTAGATGATTTGAAGCGTTTAGAACCTCCCTGAATTTCCTTTTTGGTTCCTAACATGAAATGTGGAGGATGAAACCTCACCATTCCGGCTGTGGGACCTTCCTGGAAACACTGGATGGTCCTTTTCTTCTGGGGTTTGCTCACCTGGTTATTCCAGGTGGGGTTCAAGCATTTTCCAGAAGTAAATTTTTTGGGGGGGGAAGCGGGGGTAGAGCTTTGTAGGCTTCAGGATGGACCCAAAGCCTCTTTCAGAAGATGGATTGCTGGAAAACTGTTGAAGCACCTGCCATGGTTGGTAACCTTCCAGAAAAGAGGGGGGGAAGGACTGCTGTGTTGGGATGAATGGACAATGAATTTTCACCCGCAGGCAACTACGAGGTGCTTTTCTTTTCTTTCCTCCACATCATCTTCACCTCCACCTCTACCACCATTCCTCCTCCTCCCATTTATTCTTTCTTTCTTTCTTTCTTTCTTTCTTTCTTTCTTTCTTTCTTTCTTTCTTTCTTTCTTTCTTTCTTTCTTTTTCTCTTTCCTTCCTTCCTTCCCTCCTCCTCCTCCTCCTCTTCTTCTTTTTCCTCCTTGTCCTCCTCCTCCCTCCTCTTCTCCTCTTCTCCTCTTGTTCCCCTTTTCTTCTCTTCCCTCCACATCATCATCTCCATTTTCTTTCTTTCTTTCTTTCTTTCTTTCTTTCTTTCTTTCTTTCTTTCTTTCTTTCTTTCTCTTTCCTTCCTTCCTTCCTTCCTTCCTTCCTTCCTTCCTTCCTTCCCTCCCTCCCTCCCTCCCTCCCTCCCTTCTCT